GCAGGCTGCCAAGTGGGCGGTGAAGAAGGCCAAAAAGAGTGCCCTAGATATCCTGTATGCTTGTGCTTTTAAATGACCCACATCTGGCTGGCAAAAAGGATCTATAGCATTGCAAAAATGAGATGCAAAGGGAAGGAGGATGGTATTGCAGTACCATTGTAAATCACAGAAATGTATGGCTGGAAGGGACCTTGAGAAGTCATTAAGTCCAGACCCCTGCATAGAGGCAGGACCGAGTAAATCTAGACCATCCCTTACAGGTGTTTGTCCAACCTGTTCTTAAAAACCTCCAATGATGGGGATTCCACAACCTCCTTTAGAAGCCTATTCCAGAGCTTAACTACCCTTACAGTTAGAAAGTTTTTTCTAATATCTAACCTAAATCTCCCTTGCTGCAGATTATGCCCATTACTTCTTGTACTACCTTCAGTGGACATGGAGAACAATTGATCTCACAGTCCTCTTTATAATAGCCCTTAACATACTTGAAGACTTATCAGGTCCCTCTTCAGTCTTCTTTTCTCGAAACAAAATGTGCCCAATTTTTTTAACCTTTCCTAATAGGTCAGGTTTTCTAAACCTTTTACAATTTTTGTTGCTCTCCTCTGGACTCTCTCCAATGTATCCATATTTTTCCTAAAGTGTGACACTCAGAACTGGACACAGTATTAAGGCTGAGGGCACAGCAGTGCCGAGCAGAGCAGGTCAATTATCTCCCACATCTTACATGCAACAGTCCTACTAATACACCCCACAGCGCTATTAGCCTTCTTTGCAACTCCATCACATTGACTCATTCAATTTGTGATTGACGAGAACCCCCAGATCTTTGCAGCAGTATTACCAGCTAGCCAGTTATTCCCCATTCTGGAGCTGTGCACTTGATTTTTCCTTCCTAAGTGAAGTACTTTGCGCTTGTCTTTATTGAAATTAATTTTGTTGCTTGAAGACCAATTCTCTAATTTGTCAAGGTCATTTTGAATTCTAATACTGTCCTCCAAAGTGCCCACAATCCTTCCCAGCTTGGTGCCATCCCCAGATTTTAAGCACATACTCTCCACGCAGTTATCCAAGTCATTAATGAAAATATTGACTACTACCAGACTCAAGACTGACCCCTGCGGAACTCCACTAGGTACAGCCTCCAGTTTGACAGCAAACCATTGATAACTACACTTTGAGTACAGACTTTCAACCAGTTGCGCACACACCTTATAATAATTTAATTGACACCACATTTCTATAGTTTGCCTATGAAAATATAATGTGGGATTGTGTCAAAAGTCCTACTAAAAATCAAGATGTATCACATGCATTGCTTTCCCCACATCCGCTAGGACAGTAACCCTGCCAAAGAAGGAAATTAGGCTGGTTTGGCGTCATTTGTTCTTGATAAATCCATGCTGGCTATTCCTTAGAACTCTATAATCCTCTAGGTGTTTACAAATTCATTGTTTAATAAGTTGTTACAGTATCTTTCCAGGTATCTAAGTTAGGCTGACAGGTCTATAACCCTCCAGGTCCTCTTTGTTCTCTTTTAAAGACAGGTCCTGTGTTTGCCCTTCTCCAGTCTTCTGGGACCTCACCTATCTTCCAGGAGTTCTCAAAGATAATCACTAACCATTCTGAGATTGCTTCAGCTAGTTCCTTAAGTCCCCTAAAATGAACTCCATAAGGTCCTGCCAATCTGAATACATCTAACTTATTTACATATTTTTAACCTGATCTTTCCCTATTTTGGCTTGAGTTCCTTCCCTCTTGTTAATATTAATTGTGTTGAGTATTTGTCACCATTAACCTTTTTTATTGAAGGCTGAAACCAAATAGACATTAAACACCTCAGCTTACTTGATTACATCAATTATTAGCTCTCCTTCCCCACTAACCTACACTTGCCTTTGTCTTTCTCTTGCTCCTAATGTATTTAAAGAATCTCTTCTTATTGCCTTTTATGTCCCTTGCTAGGTGAAACTCATGTGGTGCCTAATCCTTTCTGGTTTTGTCCCTACATGCTTATGCTATTTGTTTGTACTTCTCCTTAGCACTTTGTTCATGTTTTCACTTCCCGTAGGATTCCTTTTTGATTTTCAGGTAATTAATTTGATTTTTCAGGCTCCTGATGGAGCCATATTGATGTCTCACTATTCTTCCTACATTTCCTTTGCATTGGAATAGTTGGCAGTTTTGTGCTTAACATCTCCTTGAGAAACTGCCAGCTCTCCTGAACTCCTTTACCTCTTAGATTTTCTTGCCATGGGACCTTATCCACCAGTTCCCTGAGCTGATGATCGGGGGAGGCTGCTGGTAACACCTGAACAGGTGAAGAAGAAGTGGAAACAATACTTTGAGCATCTCTTAAACGAGACAACCCCATTTAGGGCAGAGTTGCCAACATGGTGCCTGATAAAACAAGTTTATTAACTACAAAAGAGATTTTAAATGACTACAAGTAATGAGGCATACAAGTCATAATTGGTTACAAATAAATACAAAGTAAATCACAACGAATACCTAACTTAATCAACTAAGTGAATTCAAAGCAAAGATCTCTCTTACCACATTGCAGCAGTCTTCCTGGCTGAAGTCCTGGCTGAAGTCCCTCCCCAGTCCAATGATGCTTCCTTTGTCCTTCAAGTATTGTCAACGCTGTAAGTGGAGATGAAGGGAGAGATGATTTGGGAGCTTTGTTCTTCCTTCTTATATTTTTCCTTCTTGTTGAGGGTCATCTCCAACCAAGGTTCAGGATAAATCTGTTGGATGGGAATCCTCAGCTGTTTCTTTGTCAAAATGTAAATCTTTGCACAAATCTTCCTGCCATAGAATGGCCAATGAACCAGGTGATAGTCCACTTGATTTTGTGGATACCTGGCTGAGGCTTTGGCTAGCCTTTTGTCTCTGGGGAACTGGTTTGTTGCTGTTTTCAGTACTATCATACAGTAGAATCTTATAACTTTACATACAATGTTGCCACACATATTTTACCAGGACAATGGTGATCAGCAGATTATGAGTTTTTAAATGATACCTCACAAGGCATACTTTGTAAAAGATGCTATTAAAAGGTCCTATTAAAAGGGGCACATGTAGGGATACAGACTGTCACACCAACAGGATAGCTTCTGGGCTTTTATAGACCAAGAAAAGGCATACAATAAAGTGGACAGAAGGATGTTCACATCAGTGCTGAGGAAATATGGAGTGACTGAAATTTTAATAACTATGGTGAATGCCCTATATAGATCACCTAAAACAGTGACCCAAACATTTTTTGGAATTAAACATCCATTTGAAATGAAAGTCAGACTGAACCAGGGATCAGCCTTGACCAAGAGCCGGCCCTAATTCTGCTGCTGGTTATCATATTGATGGACTATGTCCACAGGAAAATCCCAGTGGGGAAAGGTGAGAAGCTGCTATATGCTGATGACATAGCAATAATGGCATCCTCAAATGAAGTTCTAGAGGTAATAGTAAACTAGCGGTATGACCAGCTAAGCTGGCAAGGGATGAAAATGAGTATGATTAAGACTGAGGTTGTGTGAGGCAGAAAACTGGATGTAGAGATTAATGGAGTGAGACTAAATCAGACTGACCAGTTCAAGTACCTTGGCAGCTGGGCCATGGAAGATGGCAAGCTTTAACATGAGATTTGGGGATGCTGGAAGACTGAAATAACTCAGGTGGTGCATTTGACAAGCATATTGTGACAGGGTGGGGGAACCCCATCCAGTGCAAGGTGAGTGCACCCCATCCTCCAAGCCACCCTCTACCTCAGGGCAGCTAATGTCAATATAGTTGTCTTTGCCTCCGGGACAGTATGGCCAGTGGTCAGTCAGTTCAGCTGCCCTTGTCCTCAGAGCTAGAAGACCTAATGGGGTAAGACTTGATATGGTTGCCCTTACCCACAGGCCGAGAGGCCTAGTGGCCAGAGCCAAAGGGGTTGCTCTAACTCGCAGGGCAGGGAGGCCTAGCAGCCAAAGGGTCTGCCCTTACCCGCATGGTAGCCAGGGTAGGGGTCTAACCTGCTCCACCAGGTCCCGGCCCAAGACCCTAACAGTGGTAGAGTGCTCCACAACTGAGTCATCAGGGCTCCAACCAAAACACGGCAACTTCCCACAGGGCTATAACTAGTCCCCCCAGCCACTTCCTACCATGTCTCTCAGAGCAGTAGTTGGGGCAGCATCTGGGTCTCTAGGCTTCCCAGCACACACGGGTCCCAGTGACTCCAATCCCTACTGGGCATCCATAGGGACCTGGGCATCTGTCTGGGTCTTGGCGCCACTGGCTTCCACGGTCAGGGTTCCAGCTGCGCCCAGGCCGGAGCCTGCAAGGTGCCTCCTTGCTCCTCGGCAATTAACCCCAGCCTGACTTGGGCTGGTCCCTACTACACTAGTGTTGCACTTGGAGCGTGCCCAGCAGGGACGGGGGGTGGCTTCTTCAGCCCACCAAGAGGAATTCGCCCTCCCCCATCCCACGCAGGGTGAGTGCCCCCCACCACCCATGTGCCGCTGAGACTGAAAACCCAACGGTGCGCCGTACAGGGCAGAAGCCTGGGCAATCCAGCGATGGCACGTTCAGCGTCCACAGGCGTTGAGACGAGAGGTCTTCACGCCGTGAGGGGAGTTACACAAAGAGACAGGTTTACACATGAAAGGGTTGGGATGGAAGCCGAAGCCTGTGATGTGGCCAGCAACATCCAGGACAGGTGCGGAGAAGGACTGAAGGGCACTTGGTGAGGACAGCATGGCAGGGGGCTTGAGGGGAGGTGGCAGGAAGGCTCTGGGGTCTCTATAGCCAGGGGAGCAGGCAGCACCCGGGGGGGATCTACGGGGAACGGGCCGTGAGAGCCCTGGGTGCTCAAGGGCCCCCCGCAGGTCTGCGGCAAGGCTGAGCCGGCTCCTAGCCTCTCCCGCCGCAGCCCGGAACCTGCGCGCCGAGGAGCAGTTTCGGGGGGGGACGGGGACAGCGTCGGACCCGACAGGGCTGGGGGGCGACAGCGGGAACGGACCGGGCCGACCCTACGGGCACTAGCGGGGGGGGGCCCGACCCGGCTGGGCCCGCCGAGGCCGCCGCCATGTTCGCGGGGCTGCAGGAGCTGGGGGTGGCCAATGGGGAGGACCTGAAGGAGACGCTGACCAACTGCACCGAGCCGCTCAAGGCCATCGAGCAGTTCCAGGTGGGGAGCGCGGCCCGGGGGGCAGGGGCTGCGGGGGCGACGGACCCGGATGGGGGCTCCCCGGGGCTGGCGTTGCTCTGCCCCAGCAGCGGTCGGGTGGCCGGAGCTCTCAGTTGGGTCTCGGGCGGCCTCCCGCCCCGGTGGGGTCGTTCAGGGCCGTCTGCGCGGCACGCTGAGCCCGGGCTCCGGCTCCGTGTTCAGCCCGAGCCCCGTCGCCTCCGCGCGCAGGCCCGTCTGCGGTGGGTCAGCGCGGACTCGGGGCCGAGGTCCCAGGACTTGGGGGGCGGGGGGTCGGAGCTGATAACTCCTCGGTAAAAAGGGTTGCGGATGCCGTGACATCCATCGTGGTGGTGTCCGGTGGCCGCAGGGTCTTGTCCTCTGACACCTCTAGTTGTTTCTGATCCCGGCCTCTGCCTGCTGCTGGACATGGGCTTAACTTTTTCACCGTCGATCATCCTCCTGTTGTATTGCAGCCTCATTTGCTCTCCGGCCAGATCTAGCAGATAAGTTGTGGGGCAACTTCAATGAGGGATTTTAAAATCGATCCAGGATATTTTTTTTAATGTCATAATTGAGACAAACGTTGGAGGGCCCCCATCACAAGGAGAATCTTAAAAAGCAGCTTTTAAAATGAAGGGAGTCTCTCTCCCAATTGAATAGGATTTGACAGTCGTGAGAGTAGCTTTTAGGTTTTGTTTTTTTGCAGCTTAACACAGGATGAAATGTGAAAAGGAAGCTTTGGTTACTCTTGGCTCTTAACACACTGGCGCTCTGTAGTATTTTTTCACCTCTGCAATGTAATTTTCTGTAATACAAATGGAAGCTGACTGTGTATGTTACGTGGCATCTCTAAAACTTCATGGAACTATTGCATGTGTAGTTACACAATGCTTCAGTGTTTTTAGGATTGGGGCATAAAGCTTTGGTATATTTCAGCAGTGGCAGTTTATATATTTAGATAATAAAATTGGGTTAATGGAGTTTAGCATAAGCTAGCCAAATGCATACGTTTTAAAAGTCCTTTGGTAGATTGTTGAATGATTAGAGAAACATTGTAAGGTACTTCATGCCCCAGATTTAAGGATAATTAAAATAAAAAAAAACCTTGTGAATGTTTTTGTATACAAATGGATAAATTTTAATGGAGCAATACTTTTTAAACAAATAAATAGTCCTCTGCACTGTTTACTACCCATGCCTAGGAGTCAGAGGGATGGACAAGGACTCTGTTATGCTAGTGTGTCCACATTTTAGTGTTGCACTATTGCATGAGAACTAGAAAAGGAAACTTGCTAGTCTGTCTTCATTGCCCTTGTTGAGTTAAAAAGTAAATAAATGGCATCAGTGATGAAAAGTGTACTAGACTTTTAAGTTATTTCATCATTAATAGTATTATGCTAGTGCTAGTAACATAACTAAGGACTTTTTTTAAAATGTTATATTGTTTCTTACTCAATAATGACCATTTAAATTGAGCTGAGTGCTTACTTTTTCTTAACATAAGTCATTTTAGTACTGTCTCTTGTTATTTATTGCCAGCAAGAATTTGTGTTTAATCCAAACTTATAACTCTGTATGGTGTTTGTTTTGCTAGACAGAAAATGGAGTCCTTCTGCCCTCTCTCCAGTCTGCTCTGCCATTCTTGGACCTCCATGGTACTCCTAGGCTGGAGTTTCATCAGTCTGTATTTGATGAGCTGAGAGAGAAATTGCTAGAGAGAGTTTCAGCCATTGCCTCAGAAGGAAAGGTTGAGGAAAGGTGTGTTACTGATCATCATTAGAAATTAATTTCAAAATTAATCATGGCAGGTAAAGTTTTCAAAAAGCTTAAGTGACTTAAGCACTTTTTCAAAAGTATCTTAAGCGCTTAGGACCCTAAAGAGTCACTCAGGAGTTTTGAAAACTTTACCTGGCAACTTTTCTTGCTTGCATGTTTCCAGATACAAAAAGCTGGAGGATCTGCTGGAGAAAAGCTTTTCCTTGGTCAAGATGCCATCTATACAGCCTGTGGTGATGTGTGTCATGAAACACCTGCCCAAGGTAAAATCTCTTGCATCTCTTGGTTACAGCCCCTTTCATTCTCTGCTGTTAGCTGGGCTGTATGCCACGTTTGCAAACTCTTCAGTCAATTTATCATTCACTGGTAGATAATTTGGCTTATGCTTTGTTTGATTCTCATATCAGTTAATTTAATGTAGTTCAAAAAGCATTTCATATTTTCATATTTCATAAAGTACACACTAATTAGAGAGAGAAGTTTGTTCTTCTGTTTTTAAAATGTGCATGTCCCCCCCCCCCCCATCCTTCCCAAAAATAGTTTGAGCTCAGTGGTAGGGGATTTTTCCAGAACTGATTTATATGGCAAGTATTTTAAGGATGCAGCTAGATTTCAAAAAGGGGCAATATTTCTGGAAAAGGGTACTTAAAAGGAAACAACTCTTCATTTAAGGCACTACTGCATCTTTAATGTAATAGCTTCAAAACCTGTACTAGTGCTAATGTGATGCCTTCTCTAAGAAGCTAAATACTTTTAAAACCAGGGTGGTATTGAAGGGGCAGGGTCATGAAAGAAGGTTCTCTGCTGTTGCCTTGGGTTTTAATTGCACTGGTTGTAGATGTTACTGGCCAATGCAAGGTTGTGATTTAGATCTGCCTTATAGTCAACTACCTACCATTTTAACAGTCAGGTAGGTGAACCCCTAAACTCTTTACTGACACTGCACTGTTGTTTACAGGTCCCTGAAAAGAAACTGAAGTTAGTTATGGCGGATAAGGATTTATACAAAGCATGTGCCGTGGAGGTGAAGCGCCAGATCTGGCAGGATAACCAAGCTCTGTTTGGTGATGAGGTGTCCCCATTGCTGAAACAGTACATCCTGGAGAAAGAAAACACTCTCTTTAGTAGTGATCTCTCTGTCTTGCACAACTTCTTCAGTCCCTCTCCAAAAATGAGACGTCAGGGAGAGGTAACAGCAGGGAGAACTTTTACAGTGAAGTTTGGAATGGAATTCTCCAATCTCTGTCTTGAAAAGAGAGCATATTGGGTTCCTATACTGCCAGCATCATCAGATAATTGAGTGTCCATCTGGCCTTACAACTTTGCTACCACCTGAAAAAAATTATTTAAATATTTTGGCTAGTTATTTAATGTTAGTTCATCTTCATTAAACAATTCTTAATCAAATCAACAGGTCAATCTTATATTTAATAGTTACAAATAAACATAATGTTCAGTATTGTTATATTAGAATAGCACCTCATGACATAAAGTAATAGGTTAATCTTTTGTTTAAGCAGATTTTTTAAAATAACATTTAAATAGCTAAACAAAATGTTTAGCCAATAATATTTTCCCCCAGTTCTGTTTATCAGTCTGGGATTTAATCCCATGCCCATCGTTACAGTATCTAAGCACCCTTGGCGGTTAAATCAGGGATTTGGGGGTTTTACCATTTTTGTTTTGTTTTTGAAGGAAATTGTAATAGTTCAACAAAAACTTGGGAAGAAGCCTCAAAAGCTGCATATGTAGCTAGCCTATGGGACAGTGTGATCTTATTAATGTTCCCTTCGCCTCAGCCACTCTTCCCTCCTGCTGCATACTACCTCGTTAACTTGTCTTAAACTCAGTTGTAAGTTCTTCAGGGCAGGGATTGTGCCTTCCTATGTAATTGTAGAGTGCCTGTTGCAGTGGGGCTTTTAGACACTCCCACTGTAAGCATTTTATTAAAATGTTAAAACAAAAAAAAAACCCGAAATCTATGCCCTAAGCAGTGTTTTTACTCCAAAAAGGGAGGAATGCCAGATACTCCATGAAGTCTCTAGGGACATTATTACTTTTGATTTTACGTGGTGGGCACTCTGGAACTATGGTGATAGATGGCAGTATAAAACCGAAAGATCACTTTTACAACAAAAGTAATTCCTACTGGTATACTTGGTATAACAGGTCAGATTGTTTAGCAAAGGGAACAGAAGGTCTTGCAATTACAAAAGTCTAGACAAAAAACAATTAAAGCACAAATGGAGTTGAAATGCTGAAAAAGTCTGGTGTGAAATGTCTTTTAAAGCTGTATGTTTTAGTTCAGGCATTCCACAACTGATGGGGCAAATAATGAAATAGTTTGAAAGCTGTCATGTAGGAAAATCTTTTGGTACTAAGTGTGCGTTTTTCCATTTGGGCTTTAGGTGGTTCAGAAGCTGACACAGATGATTGGGAAGAATGTGAAGCTATATGACATGGTGCTACAGTTCCTAAGAACATTGTTCCTTCGGACGAGGAATGTCCATTACTGCACGCTACGGGCAGAGCTCCTGATGTCGCTGCATGACCTGGACATCAGCGAGATCTGTACTGTTGACCCCTGTCACAAGGTAATGAATAGATGGACCAGGCACAAGTGGTACTTCGGAATTTTCAGTCTGAGCAGCTCTCATTTGTGCCTGCTGCCTTGAAGGTCAATAACCCAGAAGGGATATTATCTTCAGGCATAGAAAGCGGTTCAAACCTCAAGTCTGAAATTCTTATAGTCCTTGGAATGACAGGTTCAAATCCCAGCAGTGTTAACAAAGCCCTTTGTCTTTGTGTGGTAGATAAATTGTTCATCATGCTGTCTGTGGTGCTTGGTATAAAATCTTAAAAAGCAGTGTACCATCTCACCTACATGGATGCTGCCAAAAACAAAGTTCATGCCATTGGTTTGCCCCAGTGTTCTTGGACAAAGTTTCCTTCCCCTCCTTGTTGTGCACAGTCCTATGCACAACCTGATGCTCTTTGCCCAGAAGTGATCGCATTTCATTAGTTTAGTTTGTGAAGTGCTATGGATCTTGAAATATAAAGAGCTAAAATTAATAATTATTAAAATATAAGAAGTTTTGCTAGCTTATTTAGCGCTGCATTGGCATTTATAATGTGAATTAAGTCATTCATCCACTATAAATGCAGAGTCACATTCTATTCTCTACACTTCTGTCCTGGTTACATTATTTACAAAGTTTATTTCTCATGCGATGTGTGTTTCTGAAGAAAAGATACCAGTGATGAGAAATATATTTAGCACCTGCACAGTGGGCTCCATGCACTTCAGAAACATGAATTGATCAAGACCCACAACATCGTTGTGAGGATTATGTGGTTTTAATATGGATGGGGAGACCAACACATAGGGGTTATGGCTTGTCCAAATTTCCAGTGTAAGTCAGTGGCAGAGCCAGGAATAAAATCCAGATCATCTGACTTCCAATCCCATGTTTTTACCACCAAGTGATATTGTCCCCTCAGTTACCATGTACTCCTTCGTGTATGGCCATGAGATATGTTCACATACTACATGGTATATAGTACGTGTTAATTTTCAGGCAGTGCTTGTTGTGGGAGAGGAAAAGGTGATGCCAGTTGAACCTGCTGTACAGCAGCTTCATAGAACGATCTTGTGTGTTTGGATGTCTGCTGGGCTTCCTCTGCTCCTGACGTCCAACTCCCTCTAGAACTTCCCAACACACACAGGACTGTGCAAGCAGCAGATACTGCTGGTCAGAGGTTGATGCTGTTTGTGTGGATGGGAAACTTTGTCTTCCCCCTTCACATGCTGCCACATGAACCCATGGTCTGTTGCACTGATGGAGGCATTTGAATATAATTCGAATACCTGCAGGAGCTTAATGCAAAAGGCTCGCCGATTAAGGACCTGTTTTGTCACTAGATCTGAAGCCTTTGAAAATTCGGCAAGAGTCTTAAAACTTATGTTTGGTGTATCTAACGTTGCAGCCTCCTGTACAACTGTTGGGGACGGGAGGAAAGGCTTATGCCTTTAAAGGTGTATTTAATTAAATATCGAGCCAACAGTGTTACTTTGAAGCCTTGAGGTGATTCATATATTGTAATGCTAGTTTAGAGGAGCTGCCATGAGTGTGTCATCAACGTTTCCTTTCTTTGCAGTTCACTTGGTGCTTAGATGCCTGCATTCGGGAGAAGTTTGTGGATAACAAGCGAGCTCGAGAGCTGCAAGGGTTTCTGGATGGAGTGAAGAAAGGACAAGAACAAGTACTGGGGTGAGCAGTTCAGGCTCATGAAACTGAGGGATTGACAGGGATTGCTCCCATTATCCAGAATGGCTGAGAATTACTTCAGTTGTTAATTCTCCACAAGTGTCTAGTAACAAAACCAATCATTGCCAAACACAGTCCTTCTTAGTGCATTCAGCAAGATGATAGGTTTATTCTCAGTATCCTATCCCAGTAACCTGTAACTCTAATCAGTGGCCTGTAAAATAAAAGTTAAAGAGATTGTTGTTTTTTTTTCAGGCGGGACTCACCACTTTTAAGCATCTAATTAGTGATCTAAGGCAGAAACATATTTCAGTTGATATAATCAATTAGGTTTTATCATTATAGTTTTTGCTGCATGTCTTCCTTCCCTCATAGGTTTTTAACCTGGCAGTCTCCCTTTAAATATACATTGAGCCTATGTATAGTGTCTCAGATTGGACAGGTTGAACAACAAGAAATGGACATGACCAAGGTTGTTTTTTCCAATACAGATACTTTCTTGAGAAGCAGGTAGTCTATGGCTGGGTTTGTGGTTGGGCCATGGGGTTTGTTAGTGTATATATAAAATGCATTTGTGGTTCTGTTTCCCTTCAGGGATTTATCAATGATCTTGTGTGATCCCTTTGCCATTAACACCTTAGCTCTGAGTACCATACGGCATCTGCAAGAGCTGGTTGGGCAAGACACCTTACCCAGGGTGAGTCTGAGAAACCTGCACAGATTACAAATGAGCCCTGTTCTGGTTATTATGAGACTGCATTTTACAGCAAGGGAGAAACTGACTGACAATACAGGAGAACCAATGAGACTGTGTGCTGTCAAATGCACAGGTAAACTGAAAAAGAGGAAAAACATACATTTTGTAGTAATTTTAGGTGTCCGGTAATTATGGTAGGTACCAGAGTAACAGCCGTGTTAGTCTGTATTCGCAAAAAGAAAAGGAGTACTTGTGGCACCTTAGAGACTAACCAATTTATTTGAGCATAAGCTTTCGTGAGCTACAGCTCACTTCATCAAAAGCTTATGCTCAAATAAATTGGTTAGTCTCTAAGGTGCCACAAGTACTCCTTTTCTTTTTATGGTAGGTACACAATTTTCAGACAAATGTGATTTTTCCAAGTTGACAGTGCCCCTTAACTTTTTTCACTCTCTACTAGCTACGTGCTCTTCTAATTATGCATACTTGAAGGCAACTGCTTTCTATCTACTTGAATTCCTGCTTCAGTTACAGCATTCTTTACTCCCTGTGCTAAACTTGGTGTCTTGCTTTGCTGATGGTAGGGAGATAAAATAAAGTCAATTCCTGCTGAATGGTGTAACTGGAGAGTTATTTTTCTTGTACACTTTATTGACCCATCTGAATGTAAAATTATAGTTGTTGCTCTACATTTACATCAGCCACTCGGAGAAGAAGATTATACACTTAATTTTGTGAGGCACTCGCTCTCTGTAATGCTGTGTTTGGCTGCCCCTGTTTGGCAGGGGAGGCAGAATTACATCGGTAATGTTGGCTGGCAAGTGACCACTGTTCAGCCCTAGAAAGGACTTAGAATGCAGTCTGCTGTTTGTATCCTCAGTTTCCCTGGTATGAACTGAGTACTCACAGTCTGTGCAACAAGAACGTGAATCTTTGCCCCCAGTGGATCAGGACTCAGATCCTATGATGGGAACCATACAAGGATCTAAAATAAACCCTTCCTATATTTCATCTCTTGCACTGCTTTTTCATTGTCAAATTAAATCATTTATTTTTATCCTTCCAAGCTTGCAAAAAGGCTAATATCATTTTTAAACACTTGGTATTGGATATTTACTGACAAACATGTATAGTTTCATTCTGCCACAAATTGTACTTTTATTATGTCAAATTGTTTTTGAAAGTTCTCTAGCCAATTGTCTGATCAGATGGCCTGAATATCTCCAAGCACACTGTAAAAGGTTACATTGAGGTGTGTTCTGTAGCATTTGCAGCTGTTTGGGGCCCTCTGAGCTATAATTCATTATTTAAATCATAGAAATTGACATCCCCTAGCAGTATTTGTGATCTAATGTATCTGGATAATGCTTCTGAATCCAAGAAAACCACTGAATATAAATGACTTCCAAATAAATCTCCAACATGTAGAGAATTGTGGAAGAACATAACTTTTATTAAATTTGAATTTCCAGGAAAGTCCAGACCTCTTGTTGCTGCTAAGGATGCTGTCTCTGGGACAGGGAGCCTGGGACATGATTGACAGCCAAGTCTTCAGGGAGCCTAAAATGGTAAGCTTCTTGAAGAGTATTTCCTCTTTGATTTCTTTGTCTTCCCCTCTCTCAAAGACTCCTCAGTGTCACCTTTTCCAAATGCCTCTAATAAGCACTTGCAGAATTTGTGAATGTCCTGATTGTACAGATGACACCTTGCATTTGCATGCCCCAATAGGTTGGGAGTGTACACAAGTGGGTCCTCTTGGAAATCCCCCCCCCCTTTTTTTTTTTTTTGCAGTCTTGAACATCTGGGCTTTAACTTCTTTATATCTCAGTTTTACCTCTAACAAATTCAGCACCAATGGCTCATAACTCCCGGGATCTCCGTCCACAATGGCGAGACTGTAGATCAGAATGAATGTGAAAATAGTATTGCTGGGGCTGGCCCTGAAGTGTGATAGCAGCTCATTGCATTGTCGTTCAGGGGCTAGCACTTCTGCCTCCCCAGTGTTGTGATAGGGATGGTGTGGAGGTAGCACAGTCCACCCCTGGGAAGCATATTTTGGATCGCTCAAGTGACCCTCCTGCCACGTTCCCTCTGGCCTGCACTCTGAACAGGTTTGGTAGCTCTTGGAGAAGTTCTATTCAGCTATCTACAGAAGAGAGGTTAACCACAATACTGGACAGTGGGAGGACCTCTAAAAATTCCACTGCGGTTTCTGTTCTGTGCTGCAAAGTGGGACAGCTCTTCCCAGGGAGGGTGATTGAGGCATTGACCGTATAAACTGCTAGCTGACTGCACGTTTACCTCCGTGATGTACATTTTCCATAGGTGTTTGCATAGGTGCTGGAACTAGGGGTGCTACTGCACCCCCTGCCTTGAAGTGGTTTCCGTCACATACAGGGTTTCCAGTTTGGTTCAATGGCTCTCAGCACCCCCTACTATACAAATTGCTTCAGCACCTGAGGTGGTTGTGCATGAATAGTCAGATACTAAGGTGATTAGGTACTTACATGGCCCTCGACAGAGCCTGGGCTTACCTCATAGCTTAATTGAAAGGTTCCTTCTTCTCCTGTTGGTGCTGTATGGAGAAAGCTGCACAACCTGCTTCATTTTTAATGAACTTTTTGTGGTTCCGGTCGCTGCCACTTCCCGTTCTTTTAATTTGATATAAAATAAGTAATTTTCAACTGCTGTGGGAATGGAGGAAATGAGTGTGAACTTTCCCCTGGCACTCCTCCTGGGAGCATGACTAAGTGTGAAATGGTTAATACTGGTTCAGGGAATTAGCAAGATGACTTGTACTCATTACCATACTACTCTGTCCTTACCCAGACCCTCTGTGTCCAGCACTTGCAATGATATAGGATAAGGTGCTCAAGACCAGATGTGTATATCACTGGGTAATTCTGTTACAGCAAAAAATTCATTCAATAGTTTTTTTGTGTACAAAGTGAAGGATAGTTTTCTGATTAACTCTTTATATTCTACTGGAGGACATGAAAAGAGAGGTCAGTGGTTAGAGCAGGGACTTGGTGTCTGGATACCAGTGTTTTATGTTCCTGTCTACCATTGATATGCTGTCTGGTCATAGGTAAATGGTTTACCTTAGTTTTTCTAGCTGTATGATGGGAATGTTACATGCTTACCTAAATACTTTGAGGTTCTTGGATGGAAAATTACATACATGCAGACTGTTTGTTTTTTTTATATTGCAATGGCTTTTTTCCCCCTCTAAGGAACATGAGTTGATCACCAAGTTCTTGCCGATGCTGATGTCTTTTGTGGTGGATGACTACACATTCAACGTAGATCAGAAACTGCCATCAGAAGAGAAAGGGCCAATTCCCTACCCCAGCACCATTCCCGAAGCTTTTACCAAGTATGTCATCAACCTACATACATTAGATCCTTTTTCAAAGCAAAGCATTAGGCTATGTCCACACTACATCATTATTCACACTTCTGTGTGATGTAAGTTACACTGAAGTAATTTGTAGTATAGACGTAGTTTTAGGTAGCTAAGCTATACTATAGAAGAAGCCTGGCACAATTAAGAGAAAAGAATTAATCCTAACTAATTCAAGGCTTCAGTTCCATTCATGTAGCTCTGTCAGTGGAACACTTGATTAAAAAGACACCAGAAAAACTACAGATCTTGAATAGATCAATAGAAGGGATCTCTGGCAAGAAGTATATGAGAGGCAGCGCTGCTTTGGAGTCAGTGAGGGTGCTGTCCAGTTTAGAAGTTTCCAGTCAGAGAGCTCAAATACTGTGGCCTTTTAATCAAGGGCTCAGATTGAAAGTCAACTGCACAAGAAACAGAATAAAACACTAAGGACCTGATTCAGCAGGGTACTTTAAGTACACAAGTAGTCACACTGACTATAAAGTTAGGCCTATGCTGAATCGGGGACTATGAGAATAGAATAATATTGTCTTGGTGCCTTTGGCCTGAGTTATTTCTACATGGACCCTACTGAGGAGAGTCAGTTGTAAGCAGAGCTGACATTAAAGGAGACATTTGTGTGTCCTTCATAAGCAGAGTACAGTGGCTGCTTTCATGGTATTATTGAATTTACGTGCATTTGGACTGACCACCAATACTTATTAGCAAGAGAATGAGCACCTTCAAATGCACTACTAGAAATAAGATGACAATACATGCAATGAGAGGACTTCAGTTTCTCTTTGAAATCCTAAAGGTTTGGAGGTCAAAAAAGGAAACTTCTCAGGGTTTCTCTTTGCAAGCAGACAGAAAGGATCTCTGTACGCTCAGTTATGTTCAGACCTTACACTTATTCCCAGTACTGTTCTTGTCTGAATGGCCGTACCCAGAATAGCACATCCAGTTAGAATCACGGTCACAACTGTTTCATAGCAGAATTGGTGTCTGAGTTGGGAAACTTTAAAACGAAGCAGAATCCGATTTTCCATTGTGTTTAGCTTGATCCTAAAGCTTCCTTCTTATTATTAACTGTTCAGTAGAGTTGATTATTGGAAAGTAACAATGTTTGTTGAATAATTATTTCTTTGGGCTATGGCAGCAGACAGCTCTCATAAATCTGAACACTTTCTCTTAGCCACCACTTCACAGGAGACTTCAGGTTAGCTATTGAGACATTTCCCTGCTTCCTACTCTGTGGCTTCCAGGCTGTGGATCCTGTCTTCTTAAGGACAGGTTTCAGAGTAACAGCCGTGTTAGTCTGTATTCGCAAAAAGAAAAGGAGTACTTGTGGCACCTTAGAGACTAACCAATTTATTTGAGCATAAGCTTTCGTGAGCTACAGCTCACTTCATCAATGAAGTGAGCTGTAGCTCACGAAAGCTTATGCTCAAATAAATTGGTTAGTCTCTAAGGTGCCACAAGTGCCACAAGTACTCCTTTTCTTTTTGTCTTCTTAAGGTCCTCTTTAGTATATGGGTTCTTGTTCTATTGGTTAAGAAACTTTGTTTGTGCCATAACAGATTCCTTCAGGAGCACAGAATAGCCTGTGAGGTTGGGCTATATTACATACTTCACATAACTAAACAGAGGAACAAGAATGCTTTTCTCAGGCTCCTGCCAGCACTAGGTGAGTCTTGTTTTCCTCTTATGTTTTGTACCCACTTGTCATATATAGAAGGCCTAGAAGAAGGAATATAAGGGCTATGGGGATGAGTGTGGTTAGTGTTGACAACTCTTGGATTCTAGTTTCAGGTCTGCTAGTGATTCACTGTGTGAGCCTTTGCAAGTCCCGCAAGTTTACTTACCTGTTCAGTGGTGATGTTTTCCTACCAAGCAGGAATTTTGTGAAGATTCTTGAATGTTTGTAATTCCTTGGATGAAAGTCACTGTACTAGCAATGTGATTAGCTGTAGGCTGGTTGGAATATTACTAGAAGATAAATTGTCTCTCTGAGCTGGTAGCTTCCTGCTCTAAACAGTCCCCAAAAGTTTCAGTGGATCAGAACTTTCCACTTTATCCAAAAAAGGAACTCGCAATGAAACAACACCGAATGTAGCCCAGGCTTAGCTGCTCCCAGAATTCTTCCTCAGTGGCTGCTCAGCCCACATCCTGGGTTCTTTCCCACCTCCCTTCATACCTAGGTAGGGTAGTGAGCCACCTGCAGTGGCCAGTCAGAAAAGTGCACAGAAAGTTTTTCAGCAGGCTCGTCTTCTGCTAATATGGTAAAGCTTTCAGGCAAATGCTTGCCTGCCTGTTAGTCATTGTCCTTCGTGTTGTCCAGCTGAGACATTCAGTGACCTGGCCTTCAGTGATATTTTCCTGCACCTGCTCACCGGTAACCTCACGTTGTTGGGTGATGAATTTGCGCTGGAGGACTTCTGTACCAGTCTCTTTGATGGGTTCTTCCTCACTGCCTGCTCAAGGTAACTGACATCCTTCTTCAGAAAGCACAATATTTACAAGATGAATGGGACAGTTCACACCTCTCTGAGCTATTGTTTAGCCTGTCTGCAGACTCTTCACTTAGCTCACACTGGAAAGACTATGATAGCTGTTGCGGTGGTTTTTTATATGTTTAGATTTTGCAACCAATTCTGTAGCAATAAAATAGCTGAAAAGAGAAAGTGTTGATTATAAATGATTACACAAACCCTAAATTGTTATTCAGAGACAGAAGGTGCAGTGGGGCAACATCCTCCTTACAGTGCAGTAGCAGATCGAATTTCTGCTTTAAACGTTAGATTTAACTTCAGCTCTCTAATTTATAAATGCACATAAATAACCTGTTAGTAGTTCTAAATGCTTGTATTAATTCCTGGCAAGCCTATAGAAGCATAACATCCTGTAGCATGCAAGCAATTCCTTTACAACTTAAGTATTTTTGATGATTGAGAACAAAACTCCCAGTGTTTGAACACCCAGGCACTGCTCTGATGTTGTGCTGTAGCTTTCTCTCTAACGTGTGGTTGTGTTCTGTACATTGGTTTCACCACTTTACAATTGCTCTTTACAGAAAAGAGAACGTCCATAGACACGTGCTAAGATTGCTACTTCACCTGCATCACAAAGTGGCACCTACCAAATTAGAATCACTCCAGAAGGCTTTGGAACCTACCAAGCAGGTAAGAAGGGTCACAAAAGGAAAAGTAATTGCAGATGAAGGCAACTGCATTCCCTGAAGCTGCTTACCAGGGCTTATGTTCTGTTTAGACTAGCAGCTTTCAGAGTGTCTGGAGTATTGACTTAATTATATCATGACTTACTCTTCCCACTTTCCTCTGTGTTGAAACACTCCCAGTAGTCCTAGTACTTAGTGTTCCAGCTAGTAACAGCTAGAATGAAGTGTGACTCTTCTTTCGTTTGTTTGTTTTCCCAATGCTCATTCCATAGAGCGGCGAAGCTGTGAAGGATCTTTATAACCAGCTCAGCGAGAAACTGGAGCTTCGCAAACCCAGTCCAGCCCCGGTGGCTGAAACTCCATCCATGGAACTGACTTTGCCCACAGTGCCCACCCCAGCCTCGCTCTGAGCCACATGAGCGGGACTCTGAGATAAGAGAAACTAACCTTTGCATCCTGCAGAGTGGAGGCGTTTCAATGTACTGCTAAGTGTCTCTGGCTACCATGGTGGAAACTTACCGAAAACCACTGAACCTTTTGCAGAAGCAGGACATTGTCAGACACTGCAGTTTGTCCTTGAGCACTGTCTCTTGCTGGCTAGAAGGCTCAGTATGCAGTGTGTTGCATAGGTTTACTTTGCCTAAGGATAGATAGGTGGCTTCTTGTGGATCTACCCAGCTTGTATAATTTTTTTCAAAAGACAAGTCTTATTTTTAAACCTCTGTATCTTCTTCTTGCATTTTTAGACTTACAATTTTCTGGGGCAGTAAAACCCTGGTTGTGTAATCAGGCAGAGGGAGCAAACCCTTGAAGTCTGAGCAGTTTCTCTCTTTGCCCCCAGCTTGCTTCTTTGGGTCTTTAAAGCTGAGAGATGGTTCTCAACAAAAGGGAACAAGGCTGCAGATTTTATATATTGTTCAAAACTGCTGCTTCCCTGTGACCTCATGGAGACAAGTGCTGTGCATACCTATTGGCCAATCCCCATGAGAGCAGGACAGCCAGGGCAGGGCCTAATTACAGCTCTCTCTTTGGGTTTATGGATCGCCCTTAGACATAGGGGGTGACATAGTTGTAGTGCACCTGACAAGTTAGTCACCTGCTTCTGATGTCAGGGGTTGGCTGTTCACCAACCTGATCCCCAGTTTATTTCACGGCAACTGGTAATTGGCAGCCGTCCCGGACTTTGGACAGCAGCCCCAGTAGGAAGGAGAGGAGAGGGTTGGAAAAGATCAGGAGTTTCAATTTAAAGGCATGCTTTTTGTGGAGCCCCAGGATTTCTGGCCACGTGGGGTCTGGTCCCAAGGGGGGCTTCTCAGAACCCAGAGTCACAGGCAGGCTGCACTTCCCATCACTCTCACATCTCCCCTCAATATTTGTACCCATCTCCCTAGCTCAGGCTGGTTGACTCGCTTTGTACTGAAGAGCGTCCACGAGGTCACTCCCCTTCATCCTCACATGATGCTGCCCTGATGCTGTGGCAGCATCTACTGGGGTCATCACTGGGACCTGGAAACTCAGGACATTAGTAGGAACGGGGCAGATGTGTTGAGTTGCTGCCAGCAGGTGACTGAGGTCCCCAGTCCAAAGTGAGCAGTGCTTGATACTCCCGATGGTCCAAAGACCATAGAATCATAGGACTGGAAGGGCCATCAAGAGGTCGTCTAGTCCAGTACAGCTCCTGGCCAACTGCGGGACCCTTGAGGCTCCTTACTGGCCAACCTGCCATTTGCCATCTCTTGCCTCATTGGTCGAGGGGGCTCTGGCGCTGCCGCTGAAGTGGAGCAATGGAACGCAGATATGTGGGCTGGCCCCTTGGAGGCTAGCTGCACTGAGCAGAGGGCCACCCAAGTCCCCTCACTCCATGCTTGTGGTGGTTAGGCACTTGGAGATGGTTTGCATGAGCCAACATACCACCAGAGGGGCCATGGGCTCATAACAAGACTATCCCTGCCCTCAAAGGGCTGCACCAAAGGGACAGGGGAGTACAAGGAAACAGTGGTCAGCATGGAAAGTAGCAGCCACAGCACAGCAGCTGCCTAACCACTGTTAATTCTTTTTGTAGACATCACTGCAGAGAGGAGCCTGCAGGAGGAAAGACCTTGCAGATGTTTTATGGGAAGCTACTCCCATGTTTGAGGGGTGGCATTGGAGAAAGTGTGTGTATGCCAGGATGGGGTTTCCTGGAGCCACGGGCTCAATTTCTGCCTCCAGGACACAGCTCTATAATAAAAACACCTAGTTGTTCTCAAGCGCTTTTCATCAATAGCTTTTAAAGCGCTTTACAAAGGAGGTCAGCGTCATCATCCCCATTTCACTGGGGAAACTGAGGAACAAAGCATTGACGTGATTTACCTGAGGTCACCTAGCAGGTCAGTGGCAGAGCTGTGCATAGAACCCAGGTCTCTAAGTTCCAGTCCAGCGATCTCTCTATTCTCTCCCTCACTCCCTCTGATGTACTGGGGCTAGGCCATGGTTGCGGCAGTCACTCAGGGTTAGTACTGCAGTAGAGTTAGTTGCTTTAGGACTGCTCCTGTCCCCCGGCTGCTACACCAGTAATCCTGCTCCCAGTGCACCCTCCCTCCCCATTCCATATGCTGCTAACTACCCTGTGGCACATACCCTCCCTGACTCCCTGTAATTTGGGAAGGGAGAGCAAGGAGCAATGGTATCTGAGGCTGACTGCAAACAAGAGGGAGACCATGGATCTGAAGCTGTTGGAAGAGCTGCTCTCCTGCCAGAGTTTCCCCAGCTAGCAAGTCACGGACAGTCGACCAGCCTGCATGCTGGCCCCATGTGGTTTCCCCCCAGTGACCACCACACATCCATCCGTCCCAACTCCCCAGCTGCTTCTGTTCCTTGGCCACCCTCCTTCCCTGGCTCAGGGGTTTGGTTGGGGAGGGGGTACCTTGGCAGCAGTAGAGAATGGAAGTAGCTGCATAACCCATACTCTCAGTTGGGTTGGCTTGTTGCAAAAGGAAAAGATGAAATACAAAATGTTGACCTCAAATAGCTTGTATGATGCGTGCTGATTGCAGCAAGAAGGGTTATGCCTTCAAAATATTGGAGTTATGAATTTCTTAAGTTACAGAAGAGCAAAAAGAATGGAGACACTCTGGGTAGAGTATCAAGAATGGCCAATTTTCAAATATTTATTTTTTAAAATTAGATAATTTTTCAAAAAGTGAACATCCTAGAGAGTCTGCTTCTATCCGCAGCTATTGCTATGCAAACTTGGAGATGAAAACGCTTTCATTTTATTGCCAGAAATTACAGAAACTTCTGTTTCAAGGAAAATCTCAACACAGTCTCAACTAGAAGTTGTGTCTATGATGCACTTTCTCTCTCTCTCTGTGTTCCCCCTGGCCCTGAGTGCAGACTTCGGAACTCTGTATTGCTTCAGAGATCCTGTCTGCAGTGGATCTTTTCCTTTCCTTGGGTCTGAATGTGTTCTTGTATTGGATCTTGCCACTCTTGACTCACCTGGCAAAATAAAACTAGACTATCAAGCAGCAATTTTTATTTATTTATTTATTTTTTATGAATTCTCATTGTGCCTCCATATGTGAACAGATGTTGCTTTGTCTGGGTGTTGTGGACCATGAGTCATGGCAGCAAAGATGCAGTGGTGTGTGTTTAATCCCTAAATGTCTCACATTGGGTACCTGGAATTAGTGGACACCTCTGATAATTTTGGCCTCACTCTGTGTCTCAGTTCCTTAGCTGTAAAATGGGAATAATACCACCACCTAATCTTCAAGGGGTGTTGTATAGATAGATAGATTCAGTAAGTCTGTGAAGCACTCCGCTAGTAAGGCGAGAACACATGCCTGAGGAAACTAATAATTCTGTATTCACTGCAGGGTTTGAATGGCGTGTGGTAAATAAGCCTGTGGGCCACACGTTGAATAAGGATAAGAAGAAATATTGGATTCATTCACTGAATGAGGCAGGGGTCCTTTAGAAAAAAATGTGTGAGCATGTAATTAAAGCCTGCATTATAATGCACATGCACAAGAAGGCTGAATTAAGGCTGTATTCTGGAATTTCTTAATTTGGGAGTGCTTGACTTTGCAACCTGAATGTTCTCTTAATGTACGTTTACTTGATATAAAAATCATAATAATTGGATAAAAACAATTGCTAGTAACTTAGTTTAATTATAACATAATTCCTTCAAATGCTGCCTCTGCATAATGTTAACTGTCTGGGAAGTCTGTATTATTCTGTTGTTAAGTTCTTTCAGGACAAAGAAAAGATTGACAGATGCTAAAGTTCTTAAAAGACCAAGATTTAAATTAAATTTCCATTTAAGCTAATTATACAGGTTTACTAGTAAATGCTCAGAAAATTCATTTCACACTCAAAAAGTAAGTATCATTAGTTTGAGGAGCCTGCTGTATGAGTAAAATGGAAACTCAACCCTAATTATGGAACTTTGACCGGTGTCTCCATAATTCATTGGGAAGGTCTTTAAGGAGCAGCAGGTGACTTTAATTTCCAAGGACAGACTGCAGTCTAAGTGCTGGTGTCCACGAACCAATAATGTATGATTTTTCAGTGTACTTTATCTGTTCAAAGCACAGCTCCAAGCCACTTCAGTTGCAGCTGTACATGCTCAGCATGGCTGCAAGTCTGTTGCCAGCTGTCACATTAGACACCCAGAACATGAGGAAAACACAATTTAGTGGCCACTTGTAAAAAGTTTGGTTTAAGTGACTTCCTCAGAATCGCTCATGAACTTGGTGGCAGAGGCAGGGCTCGAACCCAGGGCTGCACTCAACTGAGAGTTGAGGAGGATTGGGCCAAAAGAAATCTGATGCGGTTCAATAAGGATAAGTGCAGGGTCCTGCACTTAGGACGGAAGAACCCAATGCACAGCTACAGACTAGGGACCGAATGGCTAGGCAGCAGTTCTGCGGAAAAGAACCTAGGGGTGACAGTGGACGAGAAGCTGGATATGAGTCAGCAGTGTGCCCTTGTTGCCAAGAAGGCCAATGGCATTTTGGGATGTATAAGTAGGGGCATAGCGAGCAGATCGAGGGACGTGATCGTCCCCCCTCTATTTGACATTGGTGAGGCCTCACCTGGAGTACTGTGTCCAGTTTTGGGCCCCACACTACAAGAAGGATGTGGATAAATTGGAAAGAGTCCAGCGAAGGGCAACAAAAATGATTAGGGGTCTGGAACACATGAGTTATGAGGAGAGGCTGAGGGAACTGGGATTGTTTAGTCTGCGGAAGAGAAGAATGAGGGGGGATTTGATAGCTGCTTTCAACTACCTGAGAGGTGGTTCCAGAGAGGATGGTTCTAGACTTTTCTCAGTGGTGGAAGAGGACAGGACAAGGAGTAATGGTCTCAAGTTGCAGTGGGGGAGGTTTAGGTTGGATATTAGGAAAAACCTTTTCACTAGGAGGGTGGTGAAACACTGGAATGCGTTGCCTAGGGAGGTGGTGGAATCTCCTTCCTTAGAAGTTTTTAAGGTCAGGCTTGACAAAGCCCTGGCTGGGATGATTTAATTGGGGATGGGTCCTGCTTTTGAGCAGGGGGTTGGACTAGATGACCTCCTGAGGTCCCTTCCAACCCTGATATTCTATGATTCTATGAGAGATTCTGCAGACAACCACCTCCTTCAGCACGCAACCCTGATTCATCCCAAGAGTAGGTCTGTCCTATGCACTAAAGGAAGACTTTCAAAAATTAAAGAAATTAGTTAGGGAAGTGGATTGGACTGAAGAATTTATGGATCTAAAGGTAGAGGAGGCCTGGGATTATTTTAAATCAAAGCTGCAGAAGCTATCGGAAGCCTGCATCCCAAGAAAGGGGAAAAAATTCATAGGCAGGAGTTGTAAACCAAGCTGGATGAGCAAGCATCTCAGAGAGGTGATTAAGAAAAAGCAGAAAGCCTACAGGGAGTGGAAGAAGGGAGGGATCAGCAAGGAAAGCTACCTTATTGAGGTCAGAACATGTAGGGATAAAGTGAGACAGGCTAAAAGTCAAGTACAGTTGGACCTTGCAAAGGGAATTAAAACCAATAGTAAAAGGTTCTATAACCATATAAATAAGAAGAAAACAAAGAAAGAAGTGGGATCGCTAAACACTGAGGATGGAGTGGAGGTCAAGGATAATCTAGGCATGGCCCAATATCTAAACAAATACTTTGCCTCAGTCTTTAATAAGACTAAAGAGGTTCTTAGGGATAATGGTAGCATGACAAATGGGAATGAGGATATAGAGGTAGATATTACCATATCTGAGGTAGAAGCGAAACTCAAACAGCTTAATGGGACTAAATCGGGGGGCCCAGATAATCTTCATCCAAGAATATTAAAGGAATTGGCACATGAAATTGCAAGCCCATTAGCAAGAATTTTTAATGAATCTGTAAACTCAGGGGTTGTACTGTATGATTGGAGAATTGCTAACATAGTTCCTATTTTTAAGAAAGGGAAAAAATGTGATCCGGGTAACTACAGGCCTGTTAGTTTGACATCTGTAGTATGCAAGGTCTTGGAAAAAATTTTGAAGGAGAAGGTAGTTAAAGACATTGAAGTCAATGATAAATGGGACAAAATACAACATGGTTTTACAAAAGGTAGATCGTGCCAAACCAACCTGATCTCCTTCTTTGAGAAAGTAACAGATTTTTTAGACAAAGGAAACGCAGTGGATCTAATTTACCTAGATTTCAGTAAGGTGTTTGATACCGTGCCACCTGGGGAATTATTCGTTAAATTGGAAAAGATGGGGATCAATAGGAAAATTGAAAGGTGGATAAGGAATTGGTTAAAGGGGAGACTACAACGGGTCCTACTGAAAGGTGAACTGTCAGGCTGGAGAGAGGTTACCAGTGGAGTTCCTCAAGGATTGGTTTTGGGACCAATCTTATTTAATCTTTTTATTACTGACCTCGGCACAAAAAGTGGGAGTGTGCTAATAAAGTTTGCGGATGATACAAAGCTGGGAGGTATTGCCAATTTAGAGAAGGATTGGGAAATCATACAGGAAGATTTGGATGACCTTGAAAACTGGAGTAATAGTAATAGGATTAAATTTAATAGTGAGAAGTGTAAGGACATGCATTTAGGGATTAATAACAAGAATTTTAGTTATAAGCTGGGGATGCATCAATTAGAAGTAACGGAGGAGGAGAAGGACCTTGGAGTATTGGTTGATCATAGGATGACTATGAGCCGCCAATGTGATATGGCTGTGAAAAAAGCTAATGCGGTCTTGGGATGCATCAGGAGAGGTATTTCCAGTAGGGATAAGGAGGTTATACAAGGCACTGGTGAGACCTCACCTGGAATACTGTGTGCAGTTCTGGTCTCCCATGTTTAAGAAGGATGAATTCAAACTGGAACAGGTACAGAGAAGGGCTACTGGGATGATCCGAGGAATGGAAAACTTGTTTTATGAAAGGAGACTCAAGGAGCTTGGCTTGTTTAGCCTAACTAAAAGAAGGTTGAGGGGAGATATGATTGTTCTCTATAAATATATCAGAGGGATAAATACCGGAGAGGGAGAGGAATTATTTAAGCTCAGTACCAATGTGGACACAAGAACAAATGGATATAAACTGGCCATCAGGAAGTTTAGATTTGAAATTAGACGAAGGTTTCTAACCATCAGAGGAGTGAAGTTTTGGAATAGCCTTCCAAGGGAAGCAGTGGGGGCAAAAGATCTATCTGGCTTTAAGATTAAACTCGATAAGTTTATGGAGGAGATGGTATGATGGGATAACATGGTTTTGGTAATTAAATATTCATGGTAAATAGGCCCAATGGCCTGGATGGGATATTAGATGGGGTGGGATCTGAGTTACCCAGGAAAGAATTTTCTGTAGTATCTGGCTGGTGAATCTTGCCCATATGCTCAGGGTTTAGCTGATCACTATATTTGGGGTCGGGAAGGAATTTTCCTCCAGGGCAGAATGGAAGAGGCCCTGGAGGTTTTTCGCCTTCCTCTGTAGCATGGGGCACGGGTCACTTGCTGGAGGATTCTCTGCTCCTTGAAGTCTTTAAACCATGATTTGAGGACTTCAATAGCTCAGACATAGGTGAGAGGTCTTAGTGGTGGGTGAAATTCTGTGGCCTGCTTTGTGCAGGAGGTCAGACTAGATTATCATAATGGTCCCTTCTGACCTAAACATCTATGAATCTATGAGGATGAGGTCCCATGGAAAAACTAGTATGTAATCATGTAATTAAAGACTGCATCATAATGCATATGTACAAGTGAGCTGAATTAAGATTTATGATGAGAGTTAACTGGAGCTGGAGAGCTCCATTACGACACCTGGTTCCAGGGAAGCAGACCCAATTAAAGATGAGACCCCGCTGGAGAGAAGCTGGGTAGTTACTATAAAGGAAAAAGTTTGGAGCAGAAGGAGAGAGTGTGGACAGACTGGCAGGATGAGGAGAAAGCCTGGGGGAGAGATGATTTGGGGGTCCTCTCCTGAATAGAAGGTTTGCAAGAGGCCAGGACAAAAATAGAACAGTGACTGGGGGTGGAGC